TTAAAAGGTCAAATGCTTATAAAAACTTTTTAACTCAAAGGAAAATCTCAAGGTACGCACAATGCATACAGCCATACGGCTGCAGGCGCCACTGATATAACCAGGCATATTCAGATCTCTTTTGCAAAGGAGGACTGGGCCTGAAGGCAACATATTGTGGATGTTTTTTTGGGTGTGGGGGAAACCAGAGTGCCCAGAGATAACCCACGCAAGCACAATGAGAAAATGTAAAGTCCTACAGAAAGACCCCCAGGTCCAAACCGAGGTCTTTCCATGTGTATGCGTCTGGTGATATGTGTTTTGTCACCAGACCTTCTTGCTGTGAGGCGCCACTGCTAACCACTGAACCATCGTGCTGCCCATTTTCAGTTTTCAGTGGTGTAATAAGAACACGATGTGATTACTTCGAGCATGCACAAGGCATCTGTACTGAGGTTATGGTGGATACTAAAGTCTTGAAATTTTTGCAGAACTTTTCAGTTTTCTTACAAGTCATAAATGTTTGTAGTGTTGTTGCTGGAATTTTAAATGTGTTTTAAAAATTGTGCTACAAATTTTCTCACGAGATAACTACAGAGTTCCTGTGACAGTTCCTAACATTATTTTTATGTAGTTTCCATAATTCTAGAGCGCAAAAATAATTTTTTTTTTACACCAGCACAACAATTTTGATAGAAAACACATGAAAATAAGCTGTGATTTTCTAAAATTGGCCACTCAAAAGTAACTACACAAATCACTGGTCTCTTGGTAGAAAATAGTCACAATTCAGTAATAAAGCAACTGAAAAGTAGCCTATTTTCTTGAAATTTCGTGTGATATGAAGCAGATCTGGCTACACTGTCCTCATGCTGGCCATGATTCCATCACTCCCATTTGTGCTGGTAGTGTAATGTTTTTGTAGCAAATTCTTTCAGATTTTAGCTGCATACTATTCTATAGAAATTTGTTCTGAGGGTACTCTGCCATCAAGAGTGTAGTGTGGGAGGGCAGTCCTGGTCCTTGAGGGCCACTATCTTGCACATTTTTACTCATTCCCCTGTGCCAGCACAACTGATCCAGTGATTGAATTACCTATTAAATTTCTGCAGAATCAAATCAGGTGCATTAGAGCAGAGGAAACAAATAAACTATGCAGAACCAGGGCTGCCCACACCTGGTGTAGATGGTGAATAAACTGAAGTCGATATTAAAACACCATTGTTAAATAAAATTATTTGTAGAAGAAATCAAACCATACAACACCAGAATTCTGGATCTGAGTGAGGTTTATTGTCACCCAAGCTGACAGGAAACCAACACTACCAAAAAACCAGGAAGTTCATCTATTTATACAGGTTCTTCAATGCCTGCGTTCACCCCCTACTGACCTACGGCTGAATCACAGGCATTCAGACAAAATCCTCAGCTAATGTCATCACAACGTTAAATTATGTGTTGCCACAGATATTTCGGACATGTAACTAATCTATTATCAATCAAAACATAATAGATTAAACACTGTCAACATTACAAAAAGGAAAACCTAAGAATATAGTGTTGTGCTTTTAACATCAGTACTAACCTCTAATAACTTTAAATTTCTTCAGGGACATGCTGTTGATATACATATGTATGTATGTATATATACATAC